ATTAATATGACCTGGGTGTGTCTGAGGTCAGAAATGCTTGGATTCAGCAGTGCCTGGCTATGAGACAACTCTCAAAAGTCCACCTGCCATCTGTAATACAGCAAGGCAGAAAATGGCACAATGCTAGTGAACTCAGGCATGCACCGGACTGCACTCTGCAGGACGGTGAGTCAGTCCTCATCACGCTTCCTCTGCTGACTTGGAAAAGGAACAGAAGGTAGAAAAGCAGTGGGCTTTCAACTCACACTGTCATACAATCCATCCATCCACTGCCAACCTGCCACCTCTTTATGGGGGTGCACACCTGCAAGTTACCACCTTTCCAGATGGTTGCCAGTGGTTCCTAGCTCTGCAATATTCACAGAAGTCATAAACAGGCTGAGTGTCAGACCCCTAGGCAGCCCATGATGAAGAACTACTTACTGTGTAAAAAGTGCTCAACTAGCTAGGTGGTAATCCTAGCTACTCAGGAGAATGGGAGCTGAGGATCACAGTTCAAAGCCAGCCTAGCTGGGCAAGAGAGACTGTAAGACTGTTATCTCCAATAAAACTACTCAGAAAAAGTCAGAAGTGGCACTGTGGCTCAAATGGTAGAGGAATAGCCTTGAGAAAAAGAACCTCTGGGACAGCACCCAGGCTCTGAGTTCAAGCCCCGGGACTGACACCAAAAAATAAAACAAAACTCAACTAGACATTTTTGGAAGTACCAGCTTTCAAAGGTTGAGAATCTAGGGACAAGAATTTTCAAACAAAAGCATAAAAGATAGCCTAATTGGCTGCTTTTGTGGAGTGATATGATTGGTTGGTATAGTTTTGAAAGGGCTTTTGTAATCCTCTATTACAACCTGATTATTGCAGGCTATGTGAGGCTAAACTCCAGTAATTACTGGAACTTGTCCAGAGTCACCCAACATTCTAGCTCAGTTGAGGTGAGAAAACTGATGTCCTAGCCTCTCAGGTCAGGGGCTCCTCCACTGGCCTACAAGGAGGCCTTCAGAAAAACCCCAGGGGGGCAGGCTTCATGGTCCCCAGCCTCCCCTGCTCTGATTAAAACACACAGATTTGTGGGCTGAGACTGAATGCTTGCCTTTGAAACTTTGAGGATGAAAACAGGTCATAGACCAGAAGGCAAAAACAACATTCTTCATTACCTCCCACCGCTCTAACCACTCCAGGTCCTTGTGGCTTATGTGCTTTGGAATTGCAGGTCTAGAAGTGACCTGGAGAGACCCATCAGTGTAGGAGAGTGAGAAGGAAGATAGAGACATGATCCAAAGCTCTGGGACTCTTTTCATTTCCAAAAGGAAGCTTTAAAGTCAGGAGAGCTTGATGCAGAACAACCTAATCCTCAGGAATCTCTGCCTCAATAATTAACTCCTCCCAGTAGGGGCTACACGCCAGTGCCTGGCATCTCCACCCTAAGCCAGATCGAGCACTGCTCCACCCAGCACCGTCAGCTTCCCCAGGCAACCGGATGAGGCAGAGGCCCCAGGGGTCCTCTGTAACAGCGGCAGAATAACAACACTGTCTCAGAGCAGCCTTTCTCTAGGAAAGAAGCTGGCTTTGGAAGGTGCTTTCAGACCAGTGTGGGAAATCCAAAGCCAGGGATTGTACTGTCAACAGCTGCTCCATGGTTTTTCATTTGTTTTGTTTTCTGCTGGTCCCAGGGCTTGAATTCAGAGCCTGAGCGCTGTCCCAGAGCTTTTTTTTTTTTCTCCTTTCAAAGTTGGTGTACTATCACTTGAGCCACACCTCCACTCCTGGCTTTTTGGTGGTTCATTAGAGCTACAAATGTCACCGATTGTCCAGCTCCTGCGGTCTTCAAACTGTGATCTTCAGATCTCAGCTTTCTGAATATCTAGGATTACAAGTGTGAGCCACTGGAGTCCAGTGTAGGTTCTTTATTTTAAATTCAGTACCTTTACCAAAAAGAAAAAATAAGAACAGATTCAGCACCCTGCCCATAGGCAGAGAGTGGAAAGCTGAGATTCTACACCAGTTTGGTCTGACTCCAGAAGCCAGGCTCACCTCACTGCCACTCTGCAAGGATGGCATGCTGCTCATCACAGAAGCCTGAACTGCCACCCATCTGAGTCTGCCACATACTTGACTTGACTTCCTGGGGTAAAAAAGAGCAGAGCTGAACCCAAGACCATGCAAAATGATTTTTTTATGTTGGGCTGGGAAGGTAGCTTAGTGGTAGAGTGCTTGCCTAGCGTGCATGAAGCCTTGGGTTCGATTCCTCAGTACCACATAAACAGAAAAGGCTGGAAGTGGCACTGTGGCTCAAGTGGTAGAGTGCTAGCCTTGAGCAAAAGAAGCTCAGGGACAGTGCCCAGGCCCTGAGTTCAAGCCCCAGGACTGGCAAAATAAATAAGTAAGTAAGTAAATAAATAAATAAAGAGGATGTTGGACCTGGAGGTTGGTACTGGCACCTTCCCTGTACTCCAAAAAATCAACATCCCCAGATATAAATAAATAACCAGGATGAGGTTAACTTCTGTCCATGTACTTGATCTACTTTTATTTATCAGTCTCAAAAAAAATTCAAAGCACAAAATTCATGGTTAAGCCAAGTCACATAGTCTTTGCTAGGGTATAGCTAGGGTATAGCTTTGTGATAGAACATTTGCCTAGTACATGTGAAGCCTTCAGTCCAATCCCTGGTGCTGCAAACAAACAAACAAACAAAAAAAAAAACAGCTTGCTTTACAATTGGAACTGAGAAGAAATGTATTCATTACCTTATGTATGTAACTGTAACTCCTCTGTACATCGCCTTGACAACAATTTGTTTTTTAAATTGGAACTTTGTTCTCTTCATTTTTATGCATCACATAATTATATTTCCCAGTTTTCTGTGATGACAAAGGTCACAGGCTGTACCAGTCTACCCTTCAGGTTGGGGGTGATCCTGTATTTTTGAGTGTGCCTGTATTTTTGGGTGCTGTATGTTGGCAATCCTTATTGCCCAATGAGGGAGTCTCAGGAAAAGCAGGGCTCAGGTCTTCTCATACCCTCCCTGTGGGCTCCTCGTCACTCCCCCACGTAGCTAGTAATCTTCAGACAGGTGAATCATGTCCTTTCCCTGCTAAAACCTGCAGCCAGGAGGCTGAGATCTGAGGATCGCTGTTCAAAGCCAGCCTGGGTAGGAAAGTCCATGACACTCTTCAATTAACCACCAGAAAACCAGCAGTGGTGCTGTGGCTCAAAGTGGTAAAGCACTAGCCTTGAACAAAAAAGTTCAGGGATAGAGCCCAGGTCCTGAGTTCAAGCTCCATGACCAACAAAACAAACAAACAAAAGAAACCCTGCAGTGGACCCTGAATACATGAATGAGGAAGGGAGGGAAGGAATGCATGTGGCCAACAAGTACAAGACTCCACATGACCCTACTCCCCAAACCACCACCACCACAAAAACTCTACAGTGACTTCCCTCACTTTTAAATTAGGGACCAACATCCTAATTTAAAATTTAAATTTTGGCAGCCAACAAAGCTGTACCAAGGGGTCTGCCTTACAGGTCTGTCCCTAGTCATCTGCTTGCTGCTTAGGGACCCTGCCACACAGACGGCCTTTCTGTCTTTGTAATATTCAAAAGTCACATGCCTGAGGACCGCGGGGACATTGTACCAGCCACTCTGGCCAGACTAGGATGCCCTTTCTGCCTGTTCCACCTACTAAATGCCAACATCCTTCAGGCCTGCGTTCTAGTACATAAGGTCATCTTACTGTAGAAGTAATAACTTTGTATTTCCCAATCTCTCTCTCCCTCTCCCTCTCCCTCTCTCCCTCTCCCTCTCTCTCTCTCTGTCCCCCCCCCCCTCTCACTAGACTAAGCTATGTGAGAGCAATGCTCTCAAGCCTTCTTTCAGTCCCTGCCAGGTCTTGCCTTTCCTCTTCAGCCTCCTTGACTGCCTTCTAGACAACTGCAATCTCTTCTACAGGCCTGCCAGTGTTCCCATTTCTTAGCATGCACTGAAGAGAGTCCTTGCTCCACATCCTCAAGACGCTGACCTCTCAGAGGAAGAAGTCCAAACTCCTCCTCAGCCTGCTGCTCATAGCTTGCTCATCACCTTTGTCCCCTCTCCTCCCATGTCCCTACAGATTCCATGTCCTTTAATCAGACTGTCGCAAATCCCATTGCCAACCCTTCCATCCTCCAGTC